TCTGTGGTTTAAATTCCTCTGGGGACTTTCACGTAGCAGCCAAAAATACGAAAAAGAAAACGATCTTGCAAACGTATATAGAAAAGGCAGCGGGAAAGATGACAGTGGTTTCTCTGGTAACGTTTACAGTCAGATTTTTTTCTACGGGAGCATTAGCAGCCCCCGGTGAATTCATTCATAAGACTTAAAGTGCCCCAGGACTATTTATGTGAGGGCCATAGCAGGGTCATATGGCAATTAAAATATAATAGTGAGCAATTAGGAATTTCAGCTTTGATCTGATTAGCAACAGAGTGTGTTTTAAAAGCCTATAAAGCCTCCCGAAAGTTTCTTTCCTGTCAAATAAAACATAAATGCATGGCGTATAGAAATGCACCCATGAAAGGGCCCAAGGCCCAGGGTTAAACTCAACGCTTTGCCTCACAGCCCAGCCTGGTGGACCATTCCAAAGGGTGGAGAGATCCTGGAGTAATTTACCATCCCCAGGGACCAATCTGAATTACGCCATCTCCCCAGGATGCTCCACAATCTCTGTAGCACTGTGTGATGTGGCTCCACCTCTGACATGTTCCTCCCACTCCCAGCCCAGTCCCTGGCTCACCTCCTACCCCTGGGCTGCAATGGGATCCTTGGAACATAGGCTTATCACGGTCTTCTGTGGTTCCTGCTCAAAGGGAATCCTCCTTCAACCTGAACCAGTGCTTTTAAGGCTGCCTTGCATCGCTCGAGCCCTTTTGCCCAGTGTAAAGGGGTGAGAGTAGGGTGAGGATCTCACCCAATATTTTCTCTATTGAAGGACTGTAACTCTGGAATGTTATCTCTCAAAGTGCACTTCTGCTTTGAAGAGCAACTGTAAAAGTAGCATCATGGGTTTTGAGCTGATCATGTCCCAGTGATTTCCAGATCATATCTGCTCAGTTTAAAATAATTAAAAAATAAAGATAGGTTCTCACTAGCTGTCAGCCCCATAAAAACAGACTGGGATCTGAGAGTCAAGCTGGGTTCTTTCTGGCTTGCACGTCAGCACCAACAATAAGGATTCTGCAAAACAGGTTCTGTTCTGGGTTACACATGTGCAAAACCCCATGGGCTTGACTCTCTGTTGCCTTGCTCCTTGTGGAGTCATTTACACTAAACTGTTTCAGCAGGGTTTTGCACTGGCGGAAAAGATTGAATCAGAAAGCAGGCCAATGGAGAACCAGGTTCAGTATTGTCATATACTGTCATCAATAATCCCAGTTTTTTCTAGTGGGGATGCAGAACTCTGAGGGTAGAATTTGGCCAGTCACTAGAAATTAGTGAGCAATTCTGGTTAGAATGTGTGAGCCAGAATAAAATCTAACTCCCCTTTCTATAACTGTGTTAGTTTCTCAAAAAGCAGAATCACAGTTTAACATGCATCAATGACCCAAAAAAATCAAAGACGTCCCGTTCTAGGCGACACTAACAACTTTTGGTTTCTTGTTTAGTTTGTGTTTGTGGGAAGATGGGTCGGTGATTGGAGCAGTTTTTAATCGTATTTGTTATTCTTTGCTTTGCAGTGCTTTTGAAATTCCTCGTTTTACTTCTCTTTTTTGCTAGACCCTCAGAGGACTTCAAGGGTTTATCTCTGTGGAAAGGAACATTAACCATTATCATCATTATTCTCATTGCTGGTGTCCATCCGTTCAATATATGATAAATCTCTCTTGTGCCTAATGACAGGCAGACTTCAAAACGCTTGGATTTTAGTATGGATAATAAGCATTCAAGAGTGTGGATGCTCATTCAAGGAATATAGCTGGACAGCTCAAAAAACATGCTTTCTTACAAGGTTCTCAGCTCTTTCTGCTCGTGTCAGGCCAGAAATACCATGGGAAACATGGGAAAAGATGTTCTTATGATATCATGGAAGCTTCTGGTCCTGTCTGGAAGCCAGAAGGGCAGAGATGAGTGAACAATTTTTAAAAAAATGGGAGTGGAAATTCCAGATTGCAAAAGTTTCAGCAAAGTCCAGGTTAAAGGGAAAGAGAAAGGTTTGGATTAGAGACAGGTTCAAACCAAAATCCTGGATCTAAACTTTGGGGAGGTGTTGACAAAATTCAAATATGGATCTGGATCTAAATTTTGGCCCATGTCCTTTACTTCGACTGTGATTCGAACCAAAACAGTGGACCCCAACTCCCTTGAAGTGTTCAAAATCTGTTTTTTGGCATGGGATCATCTCTAATTTGCGGGTAAAAGAGGGGTCCTATTTTTGCTGACCCAATTCAGTTGCTATACTATTTATTAATGTATCTATCTGTAACACGGTTCATGACACACCCCTCTTCCTGGGGCCCGCTTGCCCTCCCCAGTACGGCTTAGAGAGGCTTCAGGGTTGTGCAACACCCATGTCTTTATTAACTTAACCTCATCTCACCACAAGTGTCCATCTATGTATAAGTTTTACAGGATTACTCTCCTCCTTTCCAGGCAGAGCCAGCCTTCTGCTAGGAGATCTCCAGTTCCCTCCCTGACTGACTGACTTCTCCCTGGCTGCCCCCCTGCCTTCTGGCTCCCTCCCAGCCTTTATAGCCCTTGGCTTGTCAGGCCAGCAGGTGTTGCCAATCCTCAGGCCGGCATCAGGTCTTTTCCATCCAGGGCCGGCTCTGGGTTTTTTGCCGCCCCAAGCAAAAAAAATAAATAAATAAACGGAGTGCCGCTGCCAAAGCAAAAAAACCACAACCAAAAACGGAGTGCCACCCCTTGAAAAGAGCCGCCCCCAAAGGGCCAGAATGCCGCCCCTTCAGAAGTGCCGCCCCAAGCACATGCTTGGAACGCTGGTGCCTAGAGCCGGCCCTGTTTCCATCAGCCCCAATCTGCTTCCCCTGATTGAAGTTGACTGGGAAGGGGCTAATTAGTTGCACCAGCACCCTGCTACACTATCCCACAAAGAATCTCCTTCTAAGGGCCAGATTCAAAAGTGATATGTAAGATGATGTAAACCAGACCCCGGAGATTCTGCTCTCAGTTAAACTACTACCTCCATCTGAAACTGATGGGAGTGACTCCGGCTGTATAGGAGTGTAACTGAGAGCAGGGTCCAGCCTCCATACAATAACTTAGACCTACCTCTGAATTTGGCCTGTAGTACCATGTGTGCTGGAAAATAGACCATTATTCAACTTATTGTGCTCAGTCCAATGTGCTCATGCTTTCCTTTTCACGCAAGTTTGTGTTACACTAATTGCTTGTTGCCTGAAGGTGAGGAGATATTTAGTGACAAGCACTTTAGTGTCAGTGCAATTACAGTGCATTATTTCGGGCATGGGCTGTAGAGAGACCTGCCTGCTATCAAAATGATATTAACATATTAGTGTATCAATACTGATGTATAAAGCAATGATGGATACAACTAAAAAGGCTCTGATTTGAAATTGCCCTGAACAAAACCACGGGAGCTGAACAATCCTAAATGTTAGGCAAGTTTGGACCCAGATCCAGATATGACCTTCGAGGATGGCTGCTGTCTCTACAATATGCTGATTCTAAAGCCTCAGTTGAAACATCCATTAAAGACATTCAGTACATGAAGATTGTGAGATGACCAGATACTATGGCAAGGGGACCATATTAGTACCAAAGACAGGTAAGACCTGTTAATTTAGGGCATGGGTGGCCAACCTGAGCCTGAGAAGGAGCCAGAATTGACCAATGTACATTGCCAAAGAGCCACAGTAATATGTCAGCCGCCCCCCATCAGCCTCCCCCTCCCAGCTCCCAGAGCCTCCCACCCACCAGCAGCCCCATCGATCAGCGCCTCCCCCTCCCTCCCTGCACCTCCCGATCAGCTGTTTCATGACATTTTGAGCAGGGGGTTGGACTAGATGACCTCCTGAGGTCCCTTCCAACCCTGAGATTCTATGATTCTATGACATGCAGGAGGCTCTGAGAGGGAGAGGGGAAGAGCGAGGGCACTGCAGGCTCAGGGGAGGTAGCAGGAAGGGGTGGAGAGGGGGCAGGGCCCGTGGCAGAGCCAGGGGTTGAGCAGTGCACCCCCCGGCACATTGGAAAGTTGGCGCCTGTAGCTCCAGCCTGGGGTCGGTGCCTATGCAAGGAGCCGCATATTAACTTCTGAAGAGTCGCATGTGGCTCCGGAGCCACAGGTTGGCCACCCCTGAATTAGGGGATGGGTGGACCCAATTCTGAATTCAAACTCTGGGGCACAGGCTCCTGCCTACGTCACAGTTTTGCAGTAGACTAGTATTCTGAGAAGTGGTGAAACGTTTATACAGCATGACTGATCCCACATGTATACATATATCTTTGGTCTTGAAATTGGACTAGAAATCTTGGAATACTTGCCACCTGTTTAGTAGAACATGGCAACAATGCACAATGATTTACGATTGGAAGGGAAGAAAAATATTGTATGGCAGAGTGTAATGATGTCCAAAATCATGGTCACTACTGGGGATTGAACCAGTGATAATCTGAGCTAAAAGCATGAGCCTACACAGCATGAGCTAAAGGACTATGGGCGAAAACCTGGCTCTGCTTAAGTCAGTGGGAAAACTACCCTTGACTTCAACAATCCCAGGATTTTCCAGCTGGGAGCTGAAGTACATTCATATTCTCTGTGGACTGGGTGCTGAGGGGAACATATACATGAGTGACAATTGCACTGCCATGTAAGAAATGCACATGCAATAGCACGGCAGAAAGCAATGGTCAGCACTAAGAAGATGACAACCACTTCTCAAATTGTTATTTGTGCTAGTGAGGTGGCTAGGAGCCCTAATCATTCACCAGGACACCATTGTGCAAGGCGCTGTACAAGCACAGACAAAAAGACAAAAATGACAAAAAATTAACCTCAATACTAAAACTGAAGAGCAAAAGGTCTGAGTGATGACAATGTTTATCTCCTTTGGTAACGCCTCCTCAGCCCCAGAGCCTTCATTCAAAAGCACCACCACCTCCATATACACCTGGTGGAGCTGTGCTTGTGAAACCAAAACATTTGCTTTGTTTCTTACCAGTAGAACCTGTTTGGTGCGACACCCTCCTGGAGCAGCTGCCATCTTCTGCCAAACTCAACCGAACTGTATAACTGGAGACAAAACAGAGTACAATCACTGTACCTCCCTGACCTCTTTTTTTTTTTATCTGCAAGAATCACATTAAAGTATGAGGATAAACACAGTCAACAAAGGAACAGAACTGCAACCTGTACGGCTTTGGAAGTGTTCTCTGGCATCCATTGCTCCTGCGGCAGTGCCTCCAAAGTCAAAGGGCTGATCTGTGGACAGCCAGGAGACTCTGACTATAATGGAAATGAACAGCACGCCCGATGGAAGAGAGCGTGACATTCCCCAGGCCCGTTCATGGCTTTGGAAAGGCTATGGGAAGTGAGGGGTTATGCGGCTACACCCCGGATTATGCATGTATTCCTCTTGTGTGCTATAGATCCAAGCTCTCCAGTGGCCTGCTCCACCAGAGAGCATAGGTAGGGGCTTGTAAGAGTTCTGGGAAATGGCAGAGGTGGTTCCCAGGAGCTCTGTAAACTGTGAGCCTGCCCTTGTCACAAACTCCTCATTAATGGGGTACAGCCTGTCGTGGCCACTACTACAGCCCAGGGGTTGCAGTTCAACTGCACAAGTGCCCTGCCTCCTGGATGGGGAGGAGAAATCGGACTTCTGTTTGTCCCCAGTGCAAATCCTACTTTGCTTGCTCTTTGCACAGGGAAACTGAATTTTGCTCATGGGGGGAGCCATCTTTCTATAGACCTGTCCCATATTTTATGATACTTTCATTACTCTCACTTAACTTACAATTATGCTCTTGGGGATTTCAGGCACAGGTCATTCTCTGTATGCACTGTTGCCCACTACTGAATAGAGTATCTCTGAAATGCTGGGACTAAAACGTGCCTGTGTACTTTGGTACCTGACTGAAAGGAAGCAGAAATAACCCTTGCTACCACTGACAGCCCCTGGAGATTCAACCACAGTTCCAATAGCAGAGGCCAGTGGTATTCAGAGGGGAAAAAAATACTTGCATGGACTGTTGCAAATGATGCATATGAGCAGGGCCGGCTCCAAGTTTTTTGCTGCCCCAAGCAAAAAAAATGTTCTGCGCCCCCCCCCGGCCCCGCCCCAACTCCGCCCCTTCCCCACCCCATTCCAACCCTTTCCCCAAATCCCCGGCCCCGCCTCCTCCCCTGGGCGCGCGGCATTTCCCCTCCTACCCCTCCCTCCCATCCCAGGCAAGCCTGGGAGGGAGTGGGCGAAGCAGAGCAGCGGCGGGCTCGGGGGAGCAGGTGGCAGTGGAGCGGAGGTGAGCTGGGGGGGAGCGGTTCCTCTGCCCCCCTCCCCCCAGGGTTACTTCTTACGGCCCTCCTCGCACCCCCCACCGCCGCAGCTCACCTCCACTCAGGGCCGGCTCCCGGCTTTTTGCGCCCCAAGGAAAAAAAATTAAAAGGAGCCGGAGTGCCGCCTCTTATTAAGTGCTGCCCCAAGCACATGCTTGGAGCGCTAGTGCCTAGCGCCGGCCCTGCATATGAGCAGTTAGCTGCTAAACATAGCGATTGTGTCTGCATGCAGCTGCAAACAGTTACCTACAGTTGACTGAGACATGTAACTCAGGGTCTAGCTCCTTTAGGCGATATCAGATAATAAAGGTTTGTGGGTCGTTGCAATTTTTACTTTCATCCTGAATTTATGCTTGCGAAGGGTACTGAACTTACAGCCACGCGTAACGGAGAAATGAAAGTTACTTACCTGTAAGCGAGGTTCTTCGAGATGGACTCTGCATATTCCCACTCTTGGGAGAGTTTAGAAAACAGTGTGCATATTGAGTTGGCTGGTGGGTAAGGAGCACTAGCTAAACAAGGACTGTAACATCAATCTACCAATCTGTGCCTCTGAGCTAGTTGCGATATCTAACAAACAATGGCTTGGAAACGTGTGTATTGAATGCCATGTGGCTGCTCTAAAAATTTCTATTATTGGAACGTGTTTCAAACATGCCACCAAGGCTGCAATCTCTCTAATGGAGTCGACAGTCAGATGGGAGCCCGGGGGGAGCGGGGGAGGAGAAATTGTGAAGCATGCTTGTAAATTTCCATTATACACTCTCTGACCCATCTTGATAATGTTGGTGTGGAAATAGGATTTCCTTTACAGTTACCAGCATATGAAACAAACAATTTAAGTGAAAATTGAAAGTCTTTAGTCCTATCCAAATAGAAGGATAAAACTCTTTTTGTATCCAGATAATATAGCTCTGATTCTCCCCTTATTCGAATGAGGTTGTGTGTGTGTGTATGTGTGTGAAAAAAACACTGGCAATGTGATGGACTGATTGATAAGGAAATTTGAGGTGACTTTTCGAATGAATCTAGGATGTGGCTGAAGAACTTCTTTGTCCTTATAAAATGAAGGGTCAACCATTAAAGCATGAAGTTCACTAATCTTCCTATCTGATGTTATTGCTATAATAAAGGCAGTCTTAATTGATAGATGAAATAAGGAAAATGAAGATAAGGGCTCAAATGGTGGAGACATAAGCTGTGACAGCACTAAATTTAAGTGCCATGGTGCCACAGGATCTCTCATCGGGGGTGGGGTACACATTTAGTAACTCTTCAAAAACTTAATAACCTCCTGCAAGAATACCGATTTACCATCTATTTGTATATGAGAAGCTGCTATTGCATGTAAGATGTACCTTCAGCAAAGCAACAGAGAAACCTTTATGCTTTAAATATAACACATACTCTAATAGAGATTGAATAGGGGCTGACACAGGATCTATTGTCTATCAGATATTCATAGTGAAAACCATTTCCATTTTAATTCATAATATTTTCTAGTTGATTTTCTTCTGGCATTAAGAAGAACATGTTGAATATCCATAGAGAAAGACCTCTCCAACTCTATTAGAGACGGATTGCCCATGTTGTCAGATGCAATGATAATGGATCAGGATGGTAAACTGTCCCTTATTGTTGTTTCAGAAGGTCTGTTGATACTGGCAAGAATCTCTAGTTCCTTTTGGAAAGCAGGAGCAAACCCATGAACTACGACTGTCACAGCCAAGCTGGGGTAATCGGTATCATTCTGGCCAAGACCAGTCCTATTTTTCTCACAACCTTCAACATCAGAGGAAATGGTGAGAATGCATACGTTAGTTCTGCATCCCATCCAAGGAGGAACCCATCTGCCAGAGTCTGACAGGGTTCACTCACCACTGCAGCGCCTTCTGCTGGCTGTTCTGTGAATTAGCTCTCCTAGCCGGTGCACCCTCTTCTGGTGGCATCTCGACTCCATCACTTCAGTTCCCGGACCCACGTCGCTTCCAGGAACGCAGTGTCCCCTTCACGACACAGCCCTCCGGCTATGCCACACACTGTGCTCCCCCCTTCCAGGGGACAGTATCACCGTCCCTCGGTCCAGCCACTTCCTCAGTGGTGAGTGGGGCCCGGGGGAATCCAGGCCTGCCCAATACTCTGGGTCCCAGCCCAGGGGCCTTGTAGATACCCACCACCTGCTGCATCCCCTCTGACTCTTCAGTTCATTTCCCTGGGGCACTTCCCCGCGGCCTCCATCGCCTTCTTTGTCCTTACCTCAGGGCTTCAGCCTGCCAGTCTTAGTATGTAGCCAGGAGTCCTCTCTAGCTTCCCCAGTCCCTGCTGGTACTCCTTCCTCCTGCTAGGAGCCTGATTTCCCTCCTCAAGCTCCAGGCAGCTACTGAACCTGTTCTGCCCTACAGCTCTTCTTATATGGGCCTGCCTGGCCCTGATTGGCTGCTCCTCTCAGCCCTTCTCTGATTGGCTACCTCCTGCGCAGCCTCCCTAGAACTCTATTAACCCCTTAGAGCCCAGTGTGAGACAGGCAGCCCATCACACAGAGATTGAGTATCCACTCCCACTCTGAAACAAAAAATAACAGCATTTCCTGTTGAAACTTATTGCAAATAGATCTATCTTTGGCGTACCTCAAAGAGCAAAGATGTCTCTGATTACAGAGTCTTTCAAAGATCATTTGTGCATCTGTGTGGATTCCCTGCTTAGTTCTGGTTGAGGGATCCAGCCTGATGTAAAGCTATCGGACTCACCCTTTGGGCTTTGCACCAGTCCCAAAGTTTCACTGCCTCCTTGCAAAGCTGTGGTGATCAGGCTTCCCCTTATCTGTTTACATAGTACATTACTGTCATATTGTCTGTGGCCACTTGAACCACCGACCCTTGAATCTGGGGGAGAAATGACCTGAGTGCCAACCAAACTGCTCTTGATTCCAGAATGCTGCTATGGAGACAACCTTCCTGTCGACCCCAGAGTCCCCTTGTTACAAACTTCTCCAGATGGGCACCCTAGCCTGTGTTTGCAGAGCCTGTTGTGATTATCATAGACAGGACTGGATAACACCCCTCTCAGAACATTTCCCCAATCCATCCACCACCAGATGGATCTTTGGATTTGCCTGGGAACTGTAATTATCATATCCCTACTGTGTACCGACAGTCTGATGTTCTTTGATAACTAGCGCTGGGGCAGTTTCATCCTAAACCTTGCATAAGCTGTGAAATATGTACCATCATGCCCATTAGTGATAGAAAAAAAAACGTTACTCTCTGAGATGGATTCAGCAGCAAAGATTGAAAGGTACACTTTATCTTCAGGGAATTCTCCCTCAGAATGTATGCTTTTGCTCTTTGGGAATCGAGAAGAGCTCCTGTGAATAGGATTTTCTGTGATGGGGTCGGTAATTATTTCTTTCATTTTATTAAAGAAACCTAAATTTCAGAATAGAGGGCATGCAAATATTGTGAGCTCTTCCAGCTCATCCTCTGAGGTTGCTATTAGGAGCCAGTCATCAAACTATAGAAAGACAGAAACCCCTCATCTCTTGAAGAACGCTGCTACTCCAGATAGACATTTTGTAAAGACTTTGGGTGCCAAGGAGAGGACAAAGGGGAGGACTCTGTATTGGAAATGATCCTGCCTTACAGCAAAAAGGAAGGTACTTCCTGTATGATGGTCTTATTGAAATATGAAAGTAAGCTTCTTTGAGATCAAGAATAAACCAATCTAGAAAGGATAGGGAAGGA